AGAAAGATGAGGCTTTCTGCTCCCATAAAGATTTACAGCCTCGGAAACCCTGTTCAGGGTCGCTATGGGTCGGAACCGACTCAATGGCACTTAACAACAACATATATATATTCTTTTGTGATCGACTAATACAATGCTATCTATGGTTCCCTGTTTACGTCTTGTAGGTTTATTTTACTTTAAGTACTTCTTTATCTGGATTGAGTTTTGGGTGGTGATGCCATGTATGGTAATCTCAGGTTGTTGTCTGCTGTTGTTGGTTCTCAGCTCAAAGAACACCTATTAGCATTTTTTTTTTTTTTCTTTAGAATTTTTTGTGAAGTTGATCTATCTGGTCATTGCAAATTCCTTTAATATCTGTTTATCTGTAAGTGTCCAATTCCACCATCATATTTAAGGGACGGTTCAAGATCACCAGCTACTCTTTAGAAACCCTGTACAGGTTATGGTTCAGAACCGACTCGACGATACTTAACAGCAGTAGCAATTTAAGGTACAGCTTTGATGGGTGTATGATTCTTGGTTGGCAATTTTTTTTTATTTTTTTAAAGATTTGTATATATCATCCCATTGCTTTCTGGGTTACATGGTTTCTGCTGAGAACTCAGAACCTAGTTTTATGGGTTCTCTTTTATAGATAGCTTTTCATTTGTTCCAATCTGCTTTCAGGATTCTTTCCTTGTCCTTGATTTTGGAATGTTTGATTATGATATGTCTTGGTGGTATGCTTGTGGGATCTAACCTGTTTGGGGTTCATTCCAGGTTCTTGTATGCTTATCTTATCTTTCATGATGTTAGGGACATTTTCGTCCAACAACTCTTAGATCATTTTCTCTGTGCTGTTATCTCTTCCTGTTCTGGGATTTCAGTCACCCATAAGTTGTTCCTTTTCATGGTATCCCATATAACTCTTAGGCTTTCTTTGAAATTTTTTATTCTTTATTTCTGATTGTTGTTCTAGAATACTAGTATTGAATGTTGACACATTTATATTCAAGTTCATGAATTCAGACTTCATTGCTTCATTGTCCATTTCTGAGATCTTACTAATAATCATTTGGATTTCTAATGGCAGGTTTTGTATTGTTTCAAAATTTGCATTCATTTTATCTGTTTTTGTAGAATTTTCCTGGATTCTAAAGTTTTTTCTGTGTTTTCTTTCTTTCTTCCATCATTCTGTCAATCCCTTGAAAACACCAAAATAATCATCCTTTTAAATTCTATTTCAGTTAGTTCATTACCTTTTTCCCTCAGAAATGTTTTCTGTCTCTACATCATGGTAATTTGTTTGAGCAATTCTCTCTTATTTCTTCATTGAAGCTAAAATCGTTTGTTGTTTCAGAGGCATTGTAGGGTTGTCGTATTTGTAAAAACAGTGCAGTTGTTGGACATGAACAGGAGAAATCTCTGATGGGCTCCTGGAATTCAAGGAGCTCATCAGATGGTTGTGGGAGGGATGTGACAGCAGAGTTCCTGGCCCTAGATGGGGTTCTTATTGGCGTCAATGTTATCTATGTTTAGGGCACATAGATAGTTCATGGGGGGTCTTTGTTGGAGCTGTTTGCAGTATCTATTAGGACCTCAGGGAAGCTAGGGCAGGGTGATTGGTTAAATGCTTGTCTGGTGGCTCTGTGGGTTTTGTAGATCTGGATCCTAACCATCTGAATCCAGACACCAAAGCAGCGCAACTGGCTCCCAACTCACACTGAAGTGGCTTGCAACCACCTTGGATAGCAGTGTCTGCGCTGACACCTTTGGTCACCAGCAGAGTATAGGAAAAAAAGAATCATACCTTTTCTGTCACCTGCTTGAATCTGCTTAGCCAGACCTCCCACCATTGCCACAGCTGCTCACATGATAGTTGAGCTATGTGTGGCCAGCTGTTCACCAGTCAGTCTCAGTCTCTCGCCAACCCTGCAAACACTCCATCCACCTCTTTAACCTTTCTTCTGAAGTTCGGGGTGCCAGAATTTTCTTCTGTGTCTGTTTTATTTCGTGTATCATAACTTTGTTGTAGAGTGTCTGTGTAGTGTGTCTGCCTAGTTTGCCATCTTGCTGGAAGTCCTATTTTTCTGACTTTTTGACAGAATACTAATACATGTTCTTAAGATAATAACTAAGGAGGCTTGGTGGTATAGTCATTAATTGATTGGCTGATAACTGAAAGGTTGGGAGTTTGAACCTACCAGTAGCTCAGTTGATCAAAGATCTGATGACCAGTTCTCATAAAGATAACAGCCAAAAAAAAAAATCCTATAGAGCAGTTTTAGTCCATCACATGGAATCATGGTAAGTTAAACTCGATGTCATACTACAACTACAAAGACAATACTGTGCTACATGTTTAAACTTTTTTTTTTTTTTTTTTTTTTTAGTGTACATAAACTTGACTCTTTGAAATAGCCATTTTGCTCTTTTCAAATTACAGACATTGGAACTTGTGCCATCACTGCTATTCCTTTTGAGAAGTCCAAAGTTTTGTTTACTCTCGAAGAGTTAGATGAGTTCACTTTTGTGGATGAAACTGATCATCAAGCTGTTGCAGATGTAACTCGAATAGGTCCCAGCCAAGAAAAATGGGGTTGGATAATGTTTGAATGTGGACTTGAAAATCTAACCATAAAAGGTAAACAATTTGTTAAGGTCTGTTTTAATGGATAATATACTAATATTATTTTGATGAAATATTTTGAATGAAGAAATGTTTTAGTTTATTCTCTTATTACAACTTTCGATAACCTGGATCATCATATTAATGTAGAAAACGTGTTACCTGAGATTATTTACCAGAGATTTTGCTGCCATTCACTTGCATAAGTGAAACTTTTTTATCCAATGTGTGATTTTATGTATGAATACTAGTTAGGGCATCCAGACAAACTTACCTCATTGCCTGAACTAAGTAATTTGTAATTCAGAAAAAAAAAGTCCTGAAACATACATCAGACAGAGACACAAGTAGATAGATGGATGGATGGATGGATAGATAGTAGGTAGGTAGATAGATAGATAGATAGATAGATAGAGAGTCCTGAAGCTTTCTTGTTACTTGTATCCTTGAAAACTGGATCTTTGATTAATAGAACTATGCCATATTGAATGAAAACACTGTAAATCTTTTTGTTCAATGAAACAGATTGACTTACAATTATATCTGTTTTTCTTTTAAATTGTAGAATAATCTTTTAAAATAGAAAGATTGAATTGTATTTGAGAATTTTAAGTTGAGTCATATATAACAGTAGTTGCATATACCTACAGTTTCATACCTGATAATGCAACTATGTATCATGCTATAAAGACAGTCTTGGTAAGAAAGAAAATCATTGTCTTTACGAGATTTTGTGTAGCTATTGTAGAACATCATTGAGACAATTATGCACTATTTTTAATAAAATAAATTCCTTTTTGTAGGAGGAAGACAGTCTGGTGCTGTTTTATATAATACCTTTGGAATTATGGGGAAAGCTAATGTCACAGAAAGAGGTGGAGTACTGACATCCAATAATTCTTCTGATTCTCCAACCGGCAGTGGCTATAATACTGATGTCTCTGATGATAATCTTCCATGTGACCGAACAAGTCCTTCCTCAGACTTAAATGGAAATTCTGTTTCTGATGAACAAGTTGGTGAATTTCTAATAATAATAATAATGCTTTGAAAAAATTACTCAGAAAACTGCATGCCCAATTAAAAATTAATTACCAGAGTACATTCACTTGTCGTTTTCTATTTTGTATTTATATGTGTTTAAACGTTAGTCAAAACATTTTGTAGAATTCTACTTTTATTGTGCTTTTTAGATACTGCGTATTTTTACAAATCAAAGGTTTGTGGCAACACTACCTCAAGGAAGTCTATGAGTATTATTTTTGCAATAGTATGTGCTCACTTTGTGACTCTGTGTCACCTTTCCCTAATTCTCACAGTATTTCAGAAATTTTCACTGGATAAAAAGGCTGGAAAGGGTCTAGCTCTTCTTTTTCTCTCTTCCACCAACTAGAATACTTGACAGAATGTCAGACGTCTTCCTTGGTCACCCTCATCATACTCTCCATGTTGAAAGTCCTTTTTGAATTTGCTAACGTTATTTTCTTTGGATTCTCTTATCTTTCTTTATGTATTTTCTCATGCAGCCCTTTGTTTTTCTTGAATTCTCTTCTTGAGTCTTACTTTCTTCTTGCTTTTTATCCACACCTTGACTTATATCATTTTGGAGGGCAACTCTTAATTTGATGATGCTTCCATTTCTCCACATGCCTACTTTTAGCACTATCCTTTTCCTGAGCTTCTGAACCATATTTCTAGTGGCCTTTTTGGGTATTATTACTCGAATGTACTATGCTGCTGCTATTGTTATCTAGTTGGTTCTGACTCATGACAACCATGTATAGAGTTTTCAAGAAGCAGCTGGTGGTTGGATTTGAACAGACCACCTTGTGGTTAGTAGTCCAGAGATTATACTATGGAGACACACTAGAACTCCTCTGATGTGCCATTGTTGTTAAGTCTGTTTCCACTCATAGTGACCCTGTATAGGGTTTCCGAGGCTGTAAATTTTTGCGGGAACAGAAAGCCTTTTCTTTGTCCCACTGATGTACCATAGACACCATGCATTCAGTCAGCATAAAAGCAAATTTGTTATTAATATGCTTGAACCTGCACATGCTATTTTAATTATTTACCTATTATCTACAAAATTTAAAAGATCCCTTTTTAAAAATTTAAGTTTCTCAAGATTATCTGGTGCCTGGTTTATAACTCCTTGTCTGAAACCCACGAAGTCAGATGTGTTTGAGAATTGGAGTTTTTTTATATGCTGCATAAATTCCTAGTGGGATCGGAAATAATGTCGCATCATGAAACATTTAAATATTTCTGCAGCACCACATGAATAAATACACCAAATGGAATAAGTAACCTCTTACTCATTTAATAAGATTTTAATGATGTTCTTAGAAAAAATTTCAGTTTTCTAGGACCCTTGTGGGTTTTGGAATTTCAGGTAAGGGACTATGTACTTATATTTAGTGACTACTGAGTAAATTTACTAGGGTCTATATGTAAGATAAGCATTGGACTACTAATCCCAAGGTTGGCATTTCAGACCCACGAGCCACTCTGTGGAAGATGAGGTTGCCTTCTCCCGTAAATAATTACAGTCTCAGAAACCCTATATAGAGTCATTATGAGTCGGAATCAACTCAGTGGCAGTAGGTTTGCTTTTGATTTTTTGGTAGTTCACATTGTCTTGTGACACTTAGGATCCAAAGCTGCTTTGTCGCTACTGTTCATTCTGTGATCATGCCACAAAAAAATGCCAGTCTTTTATTTATTTTTACCTACCTATATAAGGAGCTCTGGTACTGTAGTGGTTATGAGTTGGGCTGCTAACCTCAAGCTGTTCCACGGGAGAAAGATGAGGCTTTCTGCTCTCATAAAGATTTACAGCCTTGGAAATTCTATGCAGGGTTGCTATGAGTCGAAACTGACTCCACAACACACCACCACCACCTCCCTATATAAAAGTGAAATAGAGACATGTGTAAAAGGCAGATGACACTTGTTTAATATTGTGCTTCTGACTTCCCTGTATTCTGAAGAGTAGTGAATGAGGTTTTTTTGGATGTTTGAAGTATTCTGTTAAAATGGAATAGAAAATAAATTGCAGTAGGAAGGCAGAAAACCCGAATTCTGTCACCCATTTTTCTACTTTATAGTTGTGTGTTTTCTGACATAACCTCTTTGTCTTACTTCATCCAGAAAAAAATGCATAACATTTCTAAACAAATGTAGTTGAATTAAGTGATCAATTAAAGCCCTTTAGTTATAAGATCTGTAATGTAGCAGGTTTATAATGTAGCAGATTTTAGACTATGCTCTTTGAAGTTTCAAAGATCTACAGATATTTCTCAGAATCAGGAAAGGATTAGCTGATCAAAGTTCACAATATTATATGTAAGGATGTTGGTTATCTGCAGAGTTTGATTTAATGAAAAGGCTTTGCTACTTAAAATGTTCTATTAGAGATTTTAAGTTAAATTTATAGACTTTGTCAATATGCTTTTGGCATTCTGTTTTTTATAGGATGAAGGAGTTGAATCTGATGATTTAAAAAAAGATCTTCCTCTAATGCCGCCGCCTCCAGATTCATGTAGCATGAAGTTAACCATCAAAGAAATTTGGTTTAGTTTTGCAGCTCCCACCAATATGAGATCTCCTACTCATACATTTTCTAGGTAAGAAGTTTTAAAAAATGTAATATTATTTCTTAATGTGTCTTCTTTATTTATGTGTGGTTAAGCACACAACTTTATCCAAGAGATCTGTGGTTTGAACTCACCAGCCACTCCCTGGGAGAAAAAGACCTAGAGATCTGCTCCCATAAAGGGTATAGTGTAGAAAGCATGGGGCAGTTCTACTTTACCATGTAAGATTGTTATAAGTAAGAATTGACTAGAAAGTACAATAGTGTTAGGTTTGCCATCTTCTTTCCATATTTCATACTTCATACTTTCTGTAGACATTACTCTCAGTTTGCTGCCCCTTCTTTATTCTAGTGCTTCAGTTTTATTTTTACATGCCATGCAATCTTGGACTTTTCGTCTTTAAAAGCTTTTATACTTTTCTTTTTTCCCCTTTTGTTTATTCTTTGTATTTCATAGTACAGTTTCGTAATTTATCAGCTGGTCAAAAGGAAGTAATTTTGCTTGAGTAAAATAGCCACCAAATTAAGTAGGTATGGGAGGTTGAAATACAAATCTTAATACTTGTTTTTATGATTTTTTTATATTTTAAAAGGCAGCTGAACCTTTTAAGCACTGCAACCCCTGCTGTTGGTGCATGGCTTGTTCCTATTGATCAACTCAAATCATCCCTAAACAAGTTAGAAACTGAGGGAACCTTGAGAATTTGTGCTGTTATGGGATGCATAATGACAGAAGCATTAGAGGTATGTCTTTCAGCAATACATGGTATTATGCAAACTTTATTGATGAAATTGATCCCTTATTGTTACTCATTGTTGGAAAACATCACACTGTAACTTCTTAATTACTAAATATATTTATAGGATCTTTGATATATATATGTCATTATAAATTTGTCATGTGCTGTGTTTCAGAATAAAAGTGTACACTTTCCCCTAAGAAGTAAATATAACAGACTTACAAAACTTGCCCGCTTTCTCCAAGAAAATCCTTCATGTTTACTATGCAATATACTGCATCACTACCTGCACCAGGCAAATTACTCCATCATTGATGATGCTACAATGGTGAGTTACTAAAACCTAATGTTAACTTTAAAAATGCCTCTTTTCTGTTGAGGAACCACTGACCCAGGGGGTTGGGGGATAAAACATTGAGAATATGGAGGAAAATTGAGTTATAGAAAAGTTTTAAACTAATGTTTGGAAATATATAAAAATCACACCCTTGTCAGATTTTTCAATAGGAAAGGCAGTCAGCACATTAGCAGTGGTTATCTTAATGTGGTATTATTTGTGACTTTTTTTTTAAATTCTGTTATGTACTCCTCTACGTTTTCTAAAATGTATCTAATAAATACATTAAATTAGAATGAAACTAATTTTTTTTTTTTTTAATTCTGAATTGAGTGAAGATCTTCAGACAAGAGCATCAATTTAACATTCAGCAAATCTTATGCTTTGTTTCATTTCAATGATGGCAGTCCCCTCTATGTAACAGCAGTAGCCTCTTTCCAAGTCTTAGATATTTGTGGGATATAATA